TATAATATTACAGAACTTGTAGATATTTTCCTCTCTTGAATGCACTTTAAACAAGAAGAGGTGGGGCAATACGTTGAAAAAACGGGGCTGGAGTTCATAAACTTGGCAAGAGTATCGTCGTGTCCTCTCATCTTGTCTTTTCTCTAGACTGCACATCACGGTACTGCACGTGTATATTATGTATAATATATTCTATAACTTGGTGTAGCTGTGTGAAGCGACCCTGTATTCCTCTCAATCACAACACGACACAGTGAAACATAGAACATAATTATCTTCGTTGTCCAACTTCGAACAGTGCACGCGCCAAATTTGGTCAAGCAACTTCTTTTTAAAATGTCATTACTTTCTAATTATCTTCCTGAATTGTTCAAAATGTTTACTAGCGTATTCTTTGTACTTATTATTGTGTGACCAATTGTAACAACGGTTGAAAAGAACATTATTCGAGACACCAAGAAAAGTGTTTGATCTTGTTTGGCGAATGCACTACTTGAGTTTGACGCTAACGCTATCGTTATAAAAATATGGAGGTTTACGTTGGAATCTCAAAATACACAGATCCCGTTTTATGAGGTTGCGTATTTGAAAGAAAGATCCTCTCAAAACGAATTGTATATTATTTAAAACCTGTTTATCAGTGACACAGTATTCTTTTTATCAACAAGGAAATAGATTAAGACCCATTGTTTGACTTAAAATTGACCTAGGAATAGGAATTACGGAAAACACAAACCATTACGTCATTTCTCTCGACACTATTTAAATGACTGAGAAATGATTTTAAAACGTCACAAACAGAAATAAATAGACCGGTGTATTACTCTTGAATTCTACACCTCTTATATTCTTGCAATCATCTTTGGAATTTGATTTTTTTTTTAGATTTAAAAAAAGATCCAAATCCTCTTTTTCTTCCCTAAAGGGTTTTCACACCTACATATTGCATGCTAGTTTTGGTGCTCTGGGTTCTTTCTGCTCCAGAAATATTCTGTTTTTTTTCTACCCTGGTTCGAGGTATTGCTTGTTGCATTATGGTTTGAAATGAAAACAACTTGAAGCTTGCTTTAATCCGCACTTGAAACGGTGCTAGAGTGTTTGGGTCAAACATAATATAGTCCACGATTGTGTCAGACAATGCAAGACGCAAAACAAACATGCATGTTTTCTGCCGTGAACGGAAGAGACAATACAAACTGTTCTGAATCCAGTTATAATGAATGACGATTGCGATGAAGCTTGTCTGATCACATCACATAAATGTAGACATTGAAGTATAGTTTTGACGTTTTTGAATTACCATCCATCCTAATAGGGTTCGGATTAGACATGTAAATATAATAATATAATTATGAATATGACTCTATACACAATATTGCACATGTTTTCTTGTGTGAATTGGTTCCCAAACTTTACAACTTACAATATTGGTTCGTTTTCTCTAAAAACTCAAAAGCAAAACTTAAAACAGATACATAATTTATTATTTTTGGTTGGTGAGATATGGGCCTATATCGTTTGGCGCAAGCACGCTAGGACCGCAGTGCACCTCTGGCGTCGCTGCGTCTACATAACACAGCCATATTATTACATGTATCCTTACGCTGCACTGCATACGAGCATCTTGGTACTACTCTGGTGTCCTTTCCCTAACACTCTGGATGTCTGGTTCTTGGCTAAAAGTAAACCTTTTGATTCACTTGGAAGTGGCCAACGTTGGCTTTCGAGACCACACCACTTGATTGTCTGTCCGCGTCCATAGAAAGATGCGTGAAGGGTCAAGGTCGGGGTTGTCACGTGATATGAAAATATATCACTTGACCATAGAGATCTGTTTTCATTGGAATAAATAATTAAACTGTTTTTAAGTAGAAGAAATTTCCCTGTGTAGATCGAAGTCTCGTGGCGGAAACTCTGATCTGTCACTGTCAATTTCCTTCCACTTTTTTCTTTTTCTTTTCTTCTTTTTGAATATTTTGTTTCATTTACATTGCACTTGTTAAATATTTATTTTGTCAAATTGTCAGTATGAACTTCTTTCTTTTTTGTATCATTTTGTTTTTGTTGTTTTATTGTTGCTTTTTAGGCGGGGGAGTGGAGGTAGTTTTGGAATGCATTTGTCGGCAACGTCCTTCACATTCACTAATAACTTTGTTCAGTGGCAGAATCCAATTCCTTTATTCAGTGGCAGAATCCAATTCCTTTATTCAGTAGCAGATTCCAATTCCTTTATTCAGTGGCAGAATCCAATTCCTTTGCTCAGTGGCAGAATCCAATTCCTTTGCTCAGTGGCAGAATCCAATTCCTACTCTTTGCGTAAAGACAAAGGGAGAACAGAGACAAAAAACACAGAGCAGACGAAAAGAAATACCACAGTGGATGCCATGTGTGCACAGCTAGATGTAAAAACATAGACTTTGTTCTAGATAAGAGAATCTACAATCCCAACTAGAGAAAGCTAGGAGAGGGATGATTTGTGACAGGCATGGTCGTACTTTGAGAAAAACATCAGTGCAAGCAGAGTCTATTCGCGTACAAACTGAGGTCCAATGGCCTTATAGGCATCTGTGAGGACAGATGAATTTCTTGACGGGGTGGGGGGGGGGGAGGGGAGGGATTGTTTGTAAGCCTACGACACGACCCATGCCTTTTTCCATAATTCTTCCTTTACTGTACACGTGTCATAATGAATTCAATCTTTAAAAAAAGAACAGACATCCCAAGAGAGTTTACGTACAAGTAGAACTGTAGTTGGGACAAAAGCATTGCTGGGGTTTTTTAAGCAACGTTTGTCTTTTTGCATCCTTTGTCTATAGATCTTTTCTCCTCTTCTCTGAATTTCTCATTTATATTATTTTGATCAACTGTACTCTACCCCTTCTCCTCGTGTTCATTCTTTCTCTCTCTCTCTCTCTGTCTGTCTGTCTGTCTGTCTCTCTCTCTCTCTCTCTCTCTCTCTCTCTCTCTATCTATCTATCTCTCTATCTATCTTTCTATCTATCTATCTATCTATCTATCTATCTATCTATCTATCTATCTATCTATCTATCTATTTATCTATCTCTCACTCTCGCTCTCTGTCTCTTTCCATCTATCTATCTCTCTCTCTTTCTCTTTCTCTCCCTCCCCAATCTCCCCCTCTCCCTCTCCCTCTCCCTCTCTCTCTCGCCCGTTCTCTCTGCGCATGCGCTGCAGGAAGCTGTCGCCTCTTGTGTCCACAGGGGGAGCTAGGCTTGCCTGGAGGCCGGGGATCTGTGGGACTGCCGGGACCCACGGGCGCCAAGGGCACCAGGGGCAAGAGGGGGAAACGGGTAAATGAGAATGATGATGACGATGATAATGACAATGAGGATAGTCGTAATGATAGTGACAATGATGGTGAAAATACTGTTGATGATGGTGATAACGACAATGGTGAAAAGGGGAAAGGGGGAAAAGGGTAATTAATAATAATGGCAATGACAATAGTGATAATGATAATGACAACGGTGAAAGGGGGAAAGGGTAAATGATCTTGACGATGATTGTGATAATGATAATGACAATGATGGTGATCATGATAATGACAATGAGGGTGATAATGATAATTACAATGATGGGGATCATGATAATGACATTGAGGGTGATAATGATAATGACAATGATGGTGATAATGGTAATGACGATGATAGTGATAATGATAATGACTATGGTGATGGTGATAATAACGATAATGTTGATTGTGATATTGACAATAGTCATAAAGCATACGAACAGCAAAAGCTCTGAAGAGTAATCGGGATAAAAATAAGAAGAATAGTCGTAATATCAATAGTGGGTCGATTATTTATTGTTACAACAGAATAAATAAAGAAGATGAAAAAGAAAAAGAAACACAGTTTCCTGCATTAAGTCAAGGTATTCATTTAGTTGCGTGTTCTTTAGAAGAAAAAAAAAAGACAAAACAAAATGTTCTCCCATCTTGAGAGTCCAGCTTTGTGCGTCTGCTGAAATATTTCGCTACTTTTCTTGGTTGTACAAGCATGAAAAGTGCTCTTATACTTTCTAATTTTTTTGTTCTCTCTCTTTCTCTCTCTTGATATCGTGTTCCTGTGGCCAATTTCTCAGTTTGAATCTGATTGGTCTCTGCATTCTTGAAACTCTCTATCTGAAGCGTACACAAATTTTATTTCTTGCAAATTTGTAACAATTTTAGAAATTCTCTGTATCGAAAACATTATTTCGAATTTTAAAAGTTGACTTCTCAGTTTATAAAAAATTAATTCAAATTGCAAGACTTCAGTTATCAGTATAGGTTATTTCTAAAAGTAAAAGTTGAATTCTTAGTTTAAAAATGAGCCTTTCAATTTGCCGAAGTTATGCTCTACAAGTTTAGAACATACCATTATTTCAAACTACAAAAAATGACTCTGCGAGCGTTATGTACGACTCTCTGAGCGCCACGTACGACTCTCCGGGCGTCACGTGAGCTCTGTGAGCGACCAGCACGAGTTGACCTACCTGGACTTTCTCCACTCCCGACAGGGTAGGCGAGGCGCGAGAGGGAAGACGGGCTTCACGGGGTTCCCAGGTCCTCAAGGACCGCCAGGGGAACCCGGAAACCTGGGCCCCAGGGGCATGAAGGGAGCGCTGGGTCTCCCTGGGCAACAGGTATGACGTCACGCTGTGGACGACGCGGGGGCGGAAAGTTCTATAACTCTTTATTCGCTTGGCTGGAGAGGAATAACACTGCAATACTATAATTATGTTTAGCTTTTGCTGAGGACACCCATAAACCGTAATGCATGCTACTAGAGTATAGGCGAGGTTTATACCTCTACCTTTGTACATTGTACATGTCCTACTTGCAAATACGCCAGCTTTCTTGCATGACTTGAGCTTTCAAAGTAAGGTCAAGATATCAATCAGAAAGTGATTGTATAAAATTATTGTCTAGATCTCAATCGTAGAAGCAACCATACAAGTTAAAGGTGATAACATACGGTGTAATCAGAAGAGATATAATGGACAAAATTATGAAATGTAAACTCTTATAAATTAAATTTTAAGTTTCTCATATGAAGTGTTAAGTTTGTCAACTGTGCAATATTGAAGATGGGCAAGATGTTGTTCTTGATGAATAAGAATCTAATACAGAATTGGGGAAACGCTCCAACAAGAAAGGAAAACTATAATATTGTCTGAGGTGTGAACAATTTGGGATTCCCCAGGGGCCAAAGGGAAGTCCTGGAATCCCAGGCAGAAATGGACTGGACGGCATAGCAGGCACAATAGGACCGGCTGTAAGTTGACTTGGTGACCCACTCAGAGTAACGAGATTGGAAAAATAAAATTGTATGTTTTGAAGGACAGTTTGATAATGGCATATCCGAAACGTTGACAAGAAAGATCTGGATAAATCTTCAACAAACAGTCAGTCTAGAACAGATAAATGCATGAAGATTTAGATCATATCAATTCAGTCACTTTTAAAATAATGGTCAGATTCCTTTATATAATTATGCTTCGCACCAAAATGGGCCCAATACACTATTTTCACACAAGTTTAACGATTTGCAAAGTAAGAAGTTAACGGTGGTAATATTGATAATTATGATAATAATATAAAATTAATCGTTCAGCCATCACAGTCTGAAAATGACTAGGAAAATGAATCAGAGATGTTATGCGTGAGTCACAGATTCTGATGTTATGATCGTGTTTGGCGGTTCACTGCCCTGTAGCTGGTGTTCTGATATATTGCTCGCTAGGGGGAGCCAGGAACAAAGGGAGACAATGGCGAAGTGGGCATGCCAGGTGTCCCAGGAGCTATTGGACCGCCCGGCCTGCCAGGACCACCAGTAAGATTTCCCTGCATGACCAATCAGTTGAAAGAAAAACGACAGAATACTTTTTAAAAACCTATTACACAAGATTTCATAAGTCTAGATCTACGATATCTAGCAGCTTTTAAAAAATATATGTTTCTCAAGTTTTCATAAGTCATGATCTATTTTTTAGCAGAACAAATTTTGGAAGAAATTGTAAGCTAGTGAAAGCTCTTCGCAATCTAACAAGATGATGTAAATTATTGTTTACGTACCGTATATCTTTTATAACCTAACACTCTCTACCTGGTGTTATGATAACTTTTTCACTACCTGTATACAGAAACTAAACTTCGGAAAACATTGTAATCAAGTTCAATTATTGTAGTAAAGATAAAGATACAGTATCCACTAAGATCAATATGAAATTATTTTGAAATAATTAATATAATATCTTTTACTATGATGCCGTTGAACGTTAAATGAGGCGTTTTTGCACATAGCTGCGTTTACCCAAGACTGAAACTGAAAGTGTACTACTGATTCTGTTGACAGGGTGAACCAGGCGTTATCGAAACCGTTGGTACTGGTAATGGAGACGGGGTAAGACATCTCATTACGGTTGAAAAGAAACACAATAGAAGTGTAATCTTTATTTTAATTTTAGTAAAAGTTTCACGGCACTCGCAACACAAATAGAGGGTTATATGAGTGACGGAACATCTTACATCGTATCTGTTTGTCAGTAAATATTTGTTTTGGTGTGAACAAAGAGTTGAAAAGGGATATCACATATACACTGACGTACTCTGTACACAAATGTAAGTGAAACATCTCCCATTGAAGTGAAAAGGTAGCGTTGATAATTGAGATAAGACAACTATTGCATTGCTAAAAGCATTACAGACAAAAAGGAAAGCAAATCAAAAGAGATGACAATAAAGATCCAAGAGAAGAATGGTTTTTCAAACAACTACTTTTGGAAGGTTGTTGTTAAAACACAAATGACATAATACAACAATATCTACTAATCGTAACTTGCAATGTTCACAATAATATAATACTAATTTGCTGGTATCACATCTTACTTTAATTCTGTATGAATCTGGGAAAAGTTGGCAGAACCTAATACATGTAACAACACGGAAGCAAAGGAGCATTGTTATCATAATTGAAAAGAAAACAATATTTCAATTACACATGACAAAGGAACATTGTTATTATAAACGAAAAAAAATCAAGATTTTGATGACACCTGACTATTTCTTTTTCTGTTTTGAAGATTATCCTTGTTATTTTGTTAGCTTTTTCTGTTTTGAAGATTATCCTTGTTATTTTGTTAGCTTTTTCTGTTTTGAAGATTATCCTTGTTATTTTGTTAGCTTTTTCTGTTTTGAAGATTATCCTTGTTATTTTGTTAGCTTTTTCTGTTTTGAAGATTATCCTTGTTATTTTGTTAGCTTTTTCTGAAAGCTTGTTTTGCCGGGTTGTGGGTTTTGGGTCTTTTTGCTTTCACTTTTGCCTTGCTTTCTTTCTTTGACTTGCGGGTTTTGCTACATTTATTTACAGTTTTACGATTTTGGAAACGAATGCTATGATATAATTATTTGAATTATCTCGTGAATAATCTAGAAGAGTTATGATGAATCAGTATGAACTGATCAAGGACATGAAAATGTGTCCAGGTTTTGTAGCTCCGTATTATCAATATAAGATATAATCAAATACAAATACAATATTATCATGATAACAAAATATTACACTTTTATAAAGCTTTAATTAAAAGACACACGCTTAAAATGATTACTTCGCTTCAAATTAAACTGGAAACAAGCATGCTCTGTTGAGAGTTGACCTGTAACGAATGTGTGATAATGACTATCCTATTTCGCTTCCATTGACACTTTCCAGTTGCCAGGACCCCCGGGGCCGCCTGGTCCTATGGTGAGTGTGTCAGAATATACCCGGTTCCCGTGGATCCGGTTTGGTTCGGTTCTGTTTGGTCGTCGGAGCTAGCCAGATATTCCTCCACGGGAGAGAAAAGCTGCCATCGTGGCAACGGACCGAACGAAACCGACAATGACCTTCAAGAACAGACGTGTTTGTTCTTCAAGGCCGTGAGTCGGGTGATCGTTTTGGGGCAGGGGTCTAGTTTTAGTGTGCACTGCAGCCGCCGGAAACCGAACCCTAACGGAACCGAATTAAGCCGAACCGATCCTTCAATGGGAACCCCTTTTCAGGGATCACTATTCAGTGCCCCTACATATAATTCTTTTGCAGTATGCACACTAGCTCGCTTTCCCTTCAAACAGCCAGCAGGGGTCTGGGGAAATGGGGGGTAAGCTAACTTCCGATAGAACACACAAAAACAAACAAATTTTGAAAAAAAAGCCCCAGCAGAAACTTTTTAAAAAAATAAGTTTGTATTCATAAAAATACATGAAGAGCATTTTTGAAACTCATCAGCTTTATTTGTCTTCTCCATCTTCAAGACATCCGTCGGTGGTGTAAAGCAGTTCTGTAAACTGTGTTGTGTATTTTAACGAACATTGGAGTCAGCGTGCTGACAAAATGAGTTACTTCTCGGATTCAAGCCTGACGAAATAGATATATCATGCTTGTATGTGAAGTTTTCCCAATTTATAAGCATGAAATGGTAAAAGGAATGTTATAGTTAAAAAGTATGGCATCAATAGAAATTCTACAAATTTGGCCGTTGTGTCGAGTTTTGGCCATTGTCTCCATTTATGGAGTGCGAGAAGTAACTCATTTTGTCAGCCCGCCTCACTTTCTCCGACCCTGCTCTCTGTTCCTCTGGTTAACTCCTGATGTAATTATTCATTGCCCATATAAGGTAAAACTATGTCCCAGCGGCAGGCTACTACTGTGCATACTGCATGGTTAGTTGAAGGGGAATAACTAGACCACAGCCCGTGTGATCATCCGGATAATTATGTACATAATCAAACTTGTTGTTTTTTTACCCTGACTCGAGTTCTTGAATGTAGGTACTGTGGGTGTGGGTGTGGTGTTTTTTGGGGGGGGATGTGCTTGCTTGTGTGTGTGATAGTGAATGAGAGAGTGAGAGACACAGAGAGAGGGGGGAGAGAAGAAGAGAGAGAGAGAGAGAGAGAGAGAGAGAGAGAGAGAGAGAGAGAGAGAGAGAGAGAGAGAGAGAGAGAGAGCGAGACAGGAGGAGGAGGTGTTTTTATTATCATATTTTTGTCTCGTCATGTGCTTTAAAAAAAAAAAAACGTATTAATTATCAATTATGACAAATTAGGAAGGAAGGATGGATGGAGGAAGGGTGTCAAGTTAAAAATGGAAAGATAGTGAAAGGGCTGTGTATGAGAGAGGGAAGGGTTGAATGCATGGTGCTTGCACACTTCAAAGAAATAATATGTAACCACAAGATGTGTTACCGCACTTAAATGTGCAATTTAATTTCAACATTATTTAGTTAAGGTTCGTGTCGGCTTCCATCACCAACCTGATTCTTTTTTCATAACTTCTGAGAGGGTATTTGTTGTTCAGTTACATCATCTTTGTACGGGCACATAAGTCGTAACGTCCGACAGGGTATTTGTGGTTCAAGTAGCCTCTATCTTTGTACGGGAATATGACATAGACGTCTGTTTGATGTTCTTACCCGATGTCAAGTTCTTCACTAATTCTTTTCTCTCACATACACGGCGTGTAGGGGCCCATGGGACTGCAGGGACCTCCAGGTATTAAGGTAAATAAAACCGTGCACTCTGGGAGGTTCTCCTCATTGCACCCCAATAACCTTTGCAGAAAAACCTGACATTTTAAATATATACTCGGAGACTGCGTCAGATCACTTAGGAGCAGCCGTTTGTACAGACTTAACGATATCACCTGAGCTTCTTGTTTTTTTTACCTTAAAAATAGATAATTACGTGGCATGCAATTTTCTTAGATTTTAATCATGAAATGAGATTGAAAAGTTATATTATAGTGGTATTTGCATAAATTCAAAAGTTATACTATAGTGGTATCTTCATACTCTCTTCGTCAATGGGTTTCTGTATAAGACAGACAGGTGTAGCTATATATAGAATATCTCTGGCGTAATGTCCTGAAATTTTTTTTGAAATCTATTTGTAATATGCACATTTGAAATGTTCACATGGATGAACAGAATAATTAATTGCATGTAACAGTAACTGCATGAATCCGGAAAGGAACTAACAACTCAAAAGAGAGTTAACATTTGGCTACTTTTCTCGTTCCAGGGAGATAGAGGCCCTTTGGGACCAGAAGGTGACCAAGTGAGTGTGATTTTTTTTTCAACAATTGCTACTGAAAGGGAAACTATAGGGTTTACAACAAATACGGGAAAGCATTAATAGGTCTATGAAGAAAGATTTCACTTTGTAGTGTTCTTCAGTCAAAGTTTATTGTATTTACTCGGTTTCAGTTACACTTTTCGATGCCTTTCAAGAGGGGATATAATATGACTATTGAAAACACAGCTGGACTTTGGAAAATTTTCTAGCCTATGAGTTGAATCTGTTTTTACATGGGGTAATTTATTTTGGTAGGCCGATCTCTTTTCATTTTGGAATACAAATATTATTTGTTTTCGGTTTTTGAGGGTCAGAGGTAGACGGTTTATTTGGTTTTGGTAACACTTCTCGATTTTTCGAGATAAAAAAACCCCAAATAGTTTTAGAAAGGCAAAACCCCCGCAATAGATAATGAGATCAAAAATATATAGAATGATTTGATATCTTTTGCTTTTGTGACAATTTTAGGGCGAACGGGGAGATCGAGGGGACCCAGGATCTATAGGATTGCCCGTAAGTGAACACCTTGCATGCCACCTGTAACCCAAATACCACGTAGAAATGACAATATTAACACTTACGGCCATTCAATTTGTGAAACGTTCGGGGACTCGTAATGTTGTTTCGAGCTCCCGTCTCCCTGTTTGATGTCTTTGGTGCCGGGTCCACAAACTGACGATTGTACTGATCTGCGGTCGACGGTTGGAAAATTCCTGTATCGTTGTCTGTCTTGGTTACAATACTCTTCTGGTGTCTCTCGCTACATTGCTGGCAGGTTACTTCTCTGTGTGAGTCCACTCACTCAAGTCCAGAGACGTTGATTGTTGCTCTTCCTTTACCTTCTTTTCCTTCACATATCTGTCTATCTATTTATCTATCTATCTATCTATCTATCTATCTATCTATCTATCTATCTATCTATCTATCTATCTATCCATCTATCTAGCTAGCTATCTATCTATCTAGCTATCTATCTATCTGTATGTCTGTCCATCAATCACACGGTTAGTGTGCCTATTCCATTGAAATTCACGTTGTTTCTTTTCTTTCTCTTCACGTTCCTCTTTCTTCTCCCCCCTTTCCCCTCTTCCTGAAACATCACCACCGGGCTCTTGGTTTGAAAAGAAATGCTCTCTGACCATCTGTATAACTGAGAACTAGCTTCCTTTGTGAGAAAAAAGATGCCACCGTTTTGTGTAAGCTGATGTAAATATTGCGGCGTCTTAACCTATGATAGTGGGGATGGATGCGTTTTGTATACGTGTGGGTAGATGCCCAGTAGTTTTTGGAAGCTTCCTGACCATTGATGCTCTGTGTGTGCGTCTGTGTGTAACGTCTTTGTCCCAGTCTGTGGCACACGTGCATAATTATGAAGATACTGTTAACCCTTTGTTTTTTCACAGTTCAATGTTAGTTTGACATTCTTGAATCGTGGCGGAAGATAATATAATATAACAGATAGGCAGCATGATTCTGAGCTAGTGGCCTTAGCTCGAGTAGAAATAAACCTGGAGCTGAAGCTACTTTGGCCACGAAAGCGTTTTACGCCTCTTTTGTTCTGCTTTAGCTTCTCACAAGCCCTGTTGTTGTCTCCGATTACGTTGAAGTCCTAGTCTTAGTGTGGACGACAGTTTCTGCTACTCCAGACTCCTTATGGACTATCGGTTCTTTCTTTTGTGGTCAAAAGATAAATGATACATTGTTGTGGTTTGTCTTTAGGTTGCTGGGTTTTTTTGTGTCTAAGTAAGGTTTTACGGCGCTCGTAAATGCATAAGGTCATATGAGCGTCAAGGGGTGGATGTCAACAGAGAAGTCCTTACAGGGAATCAGTCTTACTCTGCTCACCTCTTTAGCTGCAACAGCACAAAGTCTACTTCGACTATCAAGGCACCTCAGAAATAGTGGTCACAAGAGTGTGACAAACATACAAAAGAATTAGAGGGGAAATGACGATAGTAAGGATTAGGAAAGAAAAAGCAGCAGTTCCCTGTTGCAGTTCAGGCATAGTTATGAGCATGACATTGATGAATCAGCCCATTTACAATTACAATTCTACTGTACATAAGAACTCGAGATGTTAATGCCCCCGCCCCCTTTTTGGGAATGGCCTAAAGACACCTCAGCCTGTAGCCCCGTGGGGTGAGTGGTTTTACTAACAGAGCACAAAAGTGAAGATAATAATAACAGATAGATACGTAGCATTTGTATAGCGCAAATCCCCCTTCAACAGCAAGCTCTATGCGCTTCACAATCAATACATGACAAGATAAATATATCCTTGCTTAATATGCAACTGTGAAAACGGTCCATTCTGCCACCAGGGACCAATAGGCAAATCAGGCGAACCGGTGAGTGCGAATGCCCGAGTTGTGTCTCTCTATCGTTCATTACGCTCGCATGAATCTCTTCTGAATTGTTTCATCTTATCTAAAACTCGTTCTTTTTTTTAAGGTTTTGAGAGTGATCTTAAGTGTATGGTCACTCTGAAATAGACACATTATTTTTTAATGCATTAATTAAAATCTCATTTCTTTCTCTCTTTTTTTTTTTGTATTACATGCTGCTCTGGAAATAGGGTACAATTTTTATTAACCAATCAGTCTTATTGGAAAACACCATTTTCTCATCATTAAATGGCAACTTTTTTTTGTCCACAATACAACAGCATTAATTTTGAGAGAACTTGTAACGAAAATAGAATATATAAGCGTAGACAATATTGTTTTAGTTAAGCTTTTTTTTCCTATTTGGAGTGTATCGTTCATGATCATATTTCTGTCTTCTCGTGTGCTTTTCACTTAAAACTAAAACTCATTAATTATAACAATTACTTGTTTTTGGTTAACCTCTTCTGCTTATAAGTAGAAATAACCCACATAAAAGAACAAAATTAAGACTGGTGAAGAGTCCAAACAACGAAACAATGTGGTTCACTGACTTGAGGGGAAGGGTAAAGTCGTTCATAACGAAAGTGAAAACAGTAAAATTATGGTGGAAAGCTTTACTTTCGTACCTTCTCACAGGAGCTAAAACACATTGTTGTAAAATATGGTTTGTTTTATGGGTCGTTTATCTTGGGCATGCAACTTTTGAGCCAAATAGTTTTTTCTTAATTTGGGCAACTGCATGGGACGGACTGGGGCAAAGGTCACCACTTCCTCTGATCATGGCTTTTTCCTGAACTCCCCTCAGTACTCACAATCTGGCTCCACTTTTGTTATATTTGTTACTGCTGTCTTTTTCTTTATTTCTCTGTCCATCTGAATCCTTTGAGCTCAACCTCTTGAGAAGGCATTGTTTCTTTCATATCGCACGACATTTTTATTTCGTTTTATTTTCAATTTTCTATATTGATCGACTACTATAATGAATGACTGACATAATCTCCAAATGCGATGTATATGTGCTATTGGTCATGCATGACTCTCTCCCCCTCTTTCAGAATGCTGCTGAAATCACTCAGTGGATGACTTTTGTCGGCTTAGTTGCCACATTTCTGTAGATTGTGTGTGCCTGACATTTCTAATCAACTTAATTCATTTGAGTCTCACTTTCAGATTCGACTACCATCTGCTCCGTGATTTCATAACAAAGCATGCCGTCTTTGGCCTTTCATCTTGTTCGTTTGTTTGTTTGGTTGTTTGTTTCTTTTTTCTCTCTCTCAAGAATTGTGACTCTGAAATGTGATTAAACATGAAACTCAATCACTTATTCCGTGTTATGTGAAGTGTGTGGTGTCTAATATTTGCTGTTCATGTTACATTGCTGTAGTTTAGATCACGTTGTCAGCTAATTGATTTCTTACTGGAACTTTGTCTACTATTCATTATATATATTATATATATTCTGTGTGGTTACGTGTTTGGTGAATTTTAGTTTATAATGTAGATTTGTTCTCCTGTTTTCTTGTAATCTTTCATGTTGTAAAGTTTAAAGCAATCGCATAACCAACGAGAAATACACGAAACGTTCATCTATGCCCACAACTGCATTTCAATTATTGAAAATAATAATTATAATAATAATTTTTTCTAGATATTGTAGTGTGAGCTCATATTATCTTTGAGTCCTATGACAAGTACTTAATGGTGAATTGAACTCTGTGTCTCAAGACAATGTAATTTTGTTAAAGGAGCTATATTTACTAGTTGAAAACCCTTCCTTGTCGATATGAATGTTAAGATAGCCCGCACGCACGCACGCACGCACGCACGTACACATACACACACACACACACACACACACACTCACACACGCACATGCACAAACACACAAACACACACACACACACACACACACACACACACACACACACACACACACATACATACACTCACACTCCCACACACACTCCTAAAAAGTAAACGAATAAAAATAGAAAAATATTTTGAAATACAAAAATCTCCCCCTCTCCCCACCTCCCCACTAAAAACAAACAAACATTTTTCCTCTCGACTCTGCACATTTACTCATCTGATGTTTTTATTCTTCCCTCCCTCCATCCCATTGAATCCCCCCACCCACCCCTTCCACCCACCCCCACTTGCTCAACCCTTTTGCAAACCCGGCTCCATTCCCACACGTTGCTACAACGCCATCCGTTGCTACGACGTCATCCGTTGCTACGATGCCATCCGTTGCTATGACGCCATCTGTTGCTATGACACCACCCGTTGGTATGACGGCACCTGTTACTATGACGACACCTGTTATTATGACGACATGTTTTGCTACAACGCCAACTGTTGCTACGATGCCACCTGTTTCTATGACGTCTTCGGTTGCTATGACGCCATCATTACTATAATAACGCCATCCGTTGCTATGACGCCATCCGTTGCTATGACGCTGCTCACCACAGGGACCTCCTGGTCCGCCCGGCGTAGCGACCAACAGTGACGGCACCTGCCAGTGTGAGAAGGGAGAAAAGGGAGACAAAGGACCTACCGTAAGTACTTTTTGAACCCGTTCTCTTTATGATGATAACTTGTTATTATGAATCTATGTCTTGTGAAAGAGATAATACCCGTAAGTACTTTTGCAAACCATCCCCTTTATGACAATAACGTCATGTCATTATGAATCTATGACATGTACAAGTTGTGATTCCGCTTTGCCCCATGTATGCGGGAGAGAAGTAGCTTTTTGCCTCCGAGCAAGACTTATTGAAACACCCGAGCTTTTAGATAGTGATGAGTCACGCTCTCCCCCCACCCCTTTTTTTCAAATTAAGACCCCCCCCCCAAAAAAAAAACCCCTACTATTTTCGTCCTCCCAGCTTAAGCATCCTTTTTGCTTTTTTAGCTTCCCTATAGTTAAAGTGTGTGTTTTGTACGTAGAAAAACTAGAAACCTGCCGCTGCCTTATTTGTGTGTTCCCTTTTGACTGCTTGATTTAGATCCTGAGCTGCCGAGCTAATGTAATGACTCTCTAGTGCATGGGTGCTTCAGTTAAGTAAGTTTCACTAGCCTCTGGTCTGTACAGCATCGCGGAGAGGCTTTTGGCAAGCCCCAACACTGAACGGTTTTTATCATAACTTATTTTTCCATTTTTCGAGGACCTACCAGTTGTGTCTTTACAAATATTTTTGCTGTTTGCACCTAGAAGCACATGTATTTTAACTTTGCAGCATTTCTTAAAGTGGGATGGGGTGGGTTCGGGGTAGGTTAAAGAGCGATCACAGCAAAGAAAATGTCCAAATTTCTGAAATATATGTCTAAAGTCGTTTTTGTATTTGAAGAGCTGTTAATTCCCAAAAGGGTATAAGCGGCGGATAAAAGTAAAAGTAAGCAAGTAAGTTAATTCCTGAGTTTTTCAACTCAGAGCGGAACCTGTTCCTACGTCCACTGTACATTTATCTTTTTAGCCGTTCCCGTTATTTTATTCCGAACTATGAAAATACCCCCAAGGTTAACTTCTTCCAAATTCCAAACTGATACTACAGTAAATGAATTAATTTAGATGAAAACTCCGAACGTAAACTGCGTTTTCATAGAGTCAAACATTAACTGCCCTTATAAGTGTTTCTCGCCCTCAATGGCACAATTTAGGTCATTTAGAAAACGGCCCACATGTAAAAGGTCAGCGCCACTTTGTTCTACCAAACAGAGACTCTGGTTGGTTTTGTTCAGATTTGAGGGTGGGGGGGGGGGGGGGATTTCTACCTCATGTTCAGAGAATGTTTCTATTGTGTGGACATGATGACGTCACCGTGTCCATAGGCACTGCCGGGTCTGCCCGGACCCCCCGGCCCGCCTGGTGACGTAGGTCCTGAGGTAAGAGAGGCATGGCTGGACGTCGAGTCGGAGACGTACTTTACAGGGTGCTTGCTGAGCGACGGTCCTTGTTGAGCAAATGTTTTTATTGAGTGGAGGTTTTTATTTGGTGACTGGCTTTGTTGAGCGACGGTTCCGGTTTTCCAGTTTCAAACACTGCTTCTAAATAGGGCCATTTCATGACAAATGAAAACTGTAGTGAAACACATAACACAGAGACAATGACCTGCTGAAAAAGTCCAAAGCAGTGCTCAAGACATTATATTATATTATATTATGTGTCATTCCATTGATTCGCTGATTCTCTATATAATATCATTCACGTATTTATTTATGATAATTTCAACAGGCCATAGTCCCCGCTTTACAAGTGCCAGTACAGTTATATTTTCCACGGAAGGGACCAATAGTAATCTGTGGAGCTAGCAAGACATTTCGCTACCTGGGAATTACAAAGTTACATCTGCTCAGTACCCACTTTTGAGAAATTGGACGTTAAAAGAATGTTGAGCTTCACAACATGTCAAGCTTTTTCGAATGCAATTTCTTGAATATCTTGACACCGACCCCGAATAATCTTACAATTTTGATAGAACAGATAGAACATTTGGTTTCTGACCTCATGGTCGTAGTAACACAAAACGGCCAATAAATGTCAGATAGAACTTTATAATTCTAAATTAGCGATTTACTTCAGTACCTATACTAGTCTATGTAATACAGCATTGCTCTGAGCAAGTATTGCAGGGACATGGTCAGAACCTCGCTCAACAAGTACCCTGTAAAAAGTGTTTCTACGGCTGGGAGCATCGTGCTGTCAAACTCTGCATGGCGTGACGTCATATTTCTGAGGAGACAAAAGTCGTTTCGTAATCTCAGTGCTCGGATGTTCTTTCTTTCATCTCTTTCCTTCCGAATATTGAATAATGATACCTCATATCACTCCTAGAAATATGTTTCTTTTAGTTAAACTTAGTTAATGATTTTACGGTATTTGCAATACAAAAAGGTTATATAAGTGTCGAAGATTGGAGGTTTTACTAGAGAGTAATGTACAAGGACAAGAAGACCGAATCATAGTAGAAGACCAGCCAACCACAAACTGTACGTTTATGAAATTTCCCATAATGTTGAAATTATTAGATTAATTGTTTCTTGCGTTATATCTACGTCCACCTAGTTCTATAGAATGTCGGGTATTGCATTTTCTCATGGCCATGCTTTATTTAGCCAAAGCCTCCGGCATGATAATATGACAATTACAACGAATACTTCCTCTTCTAAACATGTCGAGATTTGTCGAAAGAACTTAATTAATCGATGTTCTTCCTCTTTGCGTTCCCCTGCTAGCTATCAGAGGTAGTTGATTGCTGGTCCTTCTTCCTGCAGCACAACTGAGTTTTACGTATGTGGAAGTTTTTCCTGCTTCGAGGGGCTCCTTGCCTTCAGGCAGCCACATCCCGATATGAATTAAGTTTTTCTTACACTGATTAAGAGTATTTTTAGTTTCAGGAGAAGTTAATTTTGAATTTTGCCGGATAGCAACTGAAGCCTTCTCATATCGATTTTAGGAACACCAATTGATTTTTACCATGCGCAACTTGTACGCGAGACCTCCGAAATGTTTTGCTCTTATCCGATAAAGATAAGTGTTCGATCTTTCCTACCTTAATATGAGGTGTGTTGCTGAAAGACGGCAGTAAGAAGGAGCCAGGGGTAGCGTAGAAAGAGTCAGTGATAGGAGAGAGGGGAGCCCAGAAGAAGCTAAGGGTATGTGAAAGAAAGTGGAAATGAAACCAGACGACAGAACAGGACCAAGAAACAGGAAAAGAAGGGAAAGGAGAAAATTCATTGAACTGCTTTGTAGTAAATTTTCGGTAAAACCTTTGTTTTTCAAATCTATTTAACCATATATCGCTGTATACATGATATAATCTGTGAGTGCCTGTTTGTCTCTCTTTGTCTTTTTTCCGTCGTTTCTGTCTTGAATGTAACTGTCCGTTCGTCGGCCTGAATGCTTGCCCCTGCTTGTATGGCTGTGTATACTTGCATGTTTGTGTGTGTGTGTGTGTGTGTGTGTGTGTGTGTGTGTGTGTGTGCGTTTGTTTGTGTGTGTATGCGTGTCTGTCTGTGTGTGAGCCTGTGTGTGTTGTACGTGTGTGTTTGTGTGTGTAGGGGAGGGGAGTATTGTATGTGCGTGTATGTGTGTGCATGTGTGTGTGTGAATGTGTATGTGTGCATGTGGGTGCATGTGTGTGTATATGTGTGTGTATGTGTGTGTGTGTGTGTGTGTTTGTGTATGTTTGTGTGTATGTGTGTTCGCATGACTTACATGACCTAGACCTGTGTGCAGCCCTCTCCGTCAATTCCCGAGACTACACCAGTCCCACAGTTGGTCGTTTCTTCGTTCCACTTAAAGTGACACTTTCGCTATTTCGTCCTTTCGAAATCATCTTGTTTTTCTTCCCCCATTTCCAGTGCCAGTTTGTGTTTACTAGCATGAACATCGCATAATTATCGTGTTATGTCGTACCATGCCCTTCACAATATAATATCTCTAGAATATATGAACACTTGCATTGTATTCTGGAATCTTATCTCTCTGTTCTGAAATTCTTAGGGTTTTTACTTCTATTCTATTTCGATCTGTGAATGGAACTTTAGACTGATGTTTCTTTCCTACGCATTTGAAGTGTTGTTTAATTATCCTTAATAGAATAATATACATATCATGTGTGAGATTCGTATGTGTCTTTTTTTAAACAGAATGGTAGTGTGATTTGATTTTTAACATTTTATTTCAATTGAAGTAAAGAATATTTTAAAGATAAAAAAACGCACACATGGCGGGCGGTTAGCGAGTGGTATAGTGTTCTTTGCTCCTTCTTTCCTATCAATTATCAATCGCCCTTATCTCTCCTTCTCTTTTGTGTTTGTTACTCTCTAGCAACGCCTCTAATCTTCGACACTTACATGACCTTTTGTGGTGTTGTGTTGCAAGAGCTGTTAAACTCTTACTAAGACTAAACTTTAAAAAAAAAAAAAAAGAATGCACACAATGTGGTTGCAATTTGGGCATTTACGTCACTCAAAGGTAAAGAATAAGACCCAGGGGCAAAATAACAAGTTGTTATCTCCACGTAGTCACAGATTTCAGAGGTTCTTTGTACGCTTGACGCGAGGGCGATAACGCTTTTCGCTGACTCAGCAATAGAAAAACTGTCTAACATTTACGTTCTAGATTGACATAACGTCCGAATAACAAACAGCATGTTGACCACACTGTTGTTATGACATTTGGCACAGGTGAGGGATTAAGTGGGTGGTAAAACCTTCACTTCGAGAGAGGAGATATAATGATATGTCACGACGCGGATGAATGAAGCTCTCGTCAATTTTTGGGCATGTAGAGTTATTGGTATAATCTTAAAGCTTGTTCATATGTCTTGCTCTGGATGAAAAAAAATCATTTAATTTGAATACAAGTCCAGGTACTTGCGAATGAAGGAGGTGGGGGTCACCTGGTTTCAGTGGTAAAATTAGTGAGAAAATGGCTGCCAAAAATGAGTTATTTCCTTAGCCTGAGAGTCCGTGGAAAATTGAAAATTTCAATTTTTTGTGCCTTTAATCGAAGTTTTTCAGTAAAAATCCACACAGTAATGTACGAAAGGTT